TTCCTGTTCCTGTACCAAGCGTGGCCACCATCGCCCCCATTCCTGACCCCGCCCCCGTCCCCATCCTTGTTCCTGTCCCCATCCTTGTCCCTGTCCTCGTCACTGTCCCCATGCAGAATGAGGCCACCGCTGTCCCCATTCGTGCCCCCCCTTCCCTATGCTGGTCCCCATCCCTTCCCCCATCCCTGACCCCATAGAGCAGGGCCACCCCTGTCCCCTGATCTGTTGGAGCTGTCCCTGCCCTCCTTTCCATCCCCACCCGTGTTCCCAGGAGGACACCCTTGTCCCTGTCCCCATCCTGAATGGGACACTCCCTGTCTCATTCAGAGCCCCCATTCCTGGGATGCTTCCCGAGTTCCCTTCAGGGAGCTGGCAGGGACAGGGCCATGTGCCCCAATTCCTGGCTCCTGAGAATGGCTGAGCCACCCTTTACTGGGGTAGAAGACGGTGACAAACCCAGTTCAGGGGACACCCCCTTCCCAGGCCACCCCCCTGGTGGCCCCACCTCCCATTTTGGGGCATCCCTGCATGCCTGACCATGGGCCGGGGGCGCTCCCCAGCCATGTCGTTCCGGAAGGTGGTGCGGCAGAGCAAATTCCGGCACGTGTTCGGGCAGCCGGTGAAGACGGACCAGTGCTACGATGACATCCGCGTGTCCCGCGTCACCTGGGACAGCACCTTCTGCGCCGTCAACCCCTCCTTCGTCGCCATCATCGTGGAGGCCAGCGGCGGCGGCGCCTTCCTCGTCCTCCCCCTGCACAAGGTGACAGCAGGGTGGTGACGTGGGGAAGGGGGGTTTGTGCTGGTGGGTGACCCCTTCCCCGCTGTCACTTTGTCCCCAGACCGGACGCATTGACAAGTCGTACCCCACGGTGTGCGGCCACACGGGCCCCGTCCTCGACATCGACTGGTGTCCCCACAACGACTACGTCATCGCCAGCGGCTCCGAGGATTGCACCGTCATGGTGAGGGGTGGCCCGGGACCCTGGTGGGCTGGCAGGCGTCACCCCCCTTCGCTCACTGTCCCCTCTGTCCCCTCAGGTGTGGCAGATCCCAGAGAACGGTCTGAGCCAGCCGCTGACGGAGCCGGTGGTGGTCCTGGAGGGGCACTCGAAGCGCGTTGGCATCGTCACCTGGCACCCCACCGCCCGCAACGTCCTGCTCAGCGCGGGTACGGGGGGACACAGCGGGCATGGGGAGGGGTGCCACGCGGCCGAGGTGACCCCTGCCGTGTGCCCCAGGCTGTGACAACGTGGTGCTGATCTGGAACGTGGGCACGGCGGAGGAGCTGTACCGGCTGGACGGGCTGCACCCCGACCTAATCTACAGCGTCAGCTGGAGCCGCGATGGCTCCCGCTTCTGCACCGCCTGCAAGGACAAGAGCGTCCGTGTCATCGACCCCCGCCGCGGCACCGTGGTGGCCGTGAGTGTCCCCACGCCTCTGGGGGGCCTGTGTCACCAGGGCACTGCCCTGCACTGGTTCTTGGGGGGAATCCCCTGCTCCCTGCTCTTGTCCCTTGGTGCACCCCATTGTCCCGTGTTCTGGGGGTGTCCTTGTCCCCTGGTTCTCCCCGCTGTCCCCTGTCCCTCTGTGCCTGTCCCCGGGGTGCTGCAGGCACCGGTGACAGCCGTGCCCCCCAGGAGAAGGAGCGGGCACACGAGGGGGCCCGTCCCATGCGCGCCATCTTCCTGGCCGACGGCAAGATCTTCACCACCGGCTTCAGCCGCATGAGCGAGCGGCAGCTGGCGCTATGGGACACGGTGAGTGGCACCCCAGGGGTCCCCTGGGACCATTTTGGGGACCCCCATGTGCCTGACACCTCATCCCACCCCAGGAGAACCTGGAGGAGCCCATGGGGCTGCAGGAGCTGGACTCCAGCAACGGGGCTCTGCTGCCCTTCTACGACCCTGACACCAACGTGGTCTATGTCTGCGGCAAGGTATGGAGGCCCCCACCCCACTGGTGGCCCCCCCGGAGCCAGGGACCCCCCCAGCTTTGACACAGCGTGTCCCCAGGGGGACTCGAGCATCCGGTACTTTGAGATCACGGAGGAGCCGCCCTACATCCACTTCCTCAACACCTTCACCAGCAAGGAGCCCCAGCGGGGAATGGGCTGGATGCCCAAACGCGGGCTGGACGTCAGCAAGTGCGAGATCGCCAGGTGGGCACGGGGACGTGGG